AAAATGTTAGAAGGGAAATAATCGATTAGATTTTGCCTCCAAAGTAGGCAGTCACGTTAAGGAAAGCCGCAGGAAATAGGGTAATTATTGAATATTGCGTTTCCAGTTAGCCGCAGCTTGCGTTTCTCGCGATCCGGAACCATTCGACTTCCTTACGCGGCTTAAAAAACAGCGAAATTGCACGCGGACCATCGATGTCTGCATCGAAGCCGCCCGTTCCGACCATATCGAAAGGCCCGCGAGAGAAATGTCTTTAACGATCCCGACGATCGGACCGTATTTTTCGCGGAAACGTTGCGAAACGCGTCGTTCCGCGCCGCCAATTTGCATACCCCCCCGGAGAAATGTGGCCGATTTCGATGAATTCTGCGCCGTCTCGGGTTAACAAACGACCCAGTACGAAATTCACGGAATGCCTCGACGTCTGAAAACCGTATTTGTCTACTCGATTCGCGAATTACGGTTCATTCGCCACAAGTTTCCCGGTTCTATTAATATACGCGAAATTTCGCGACGTTAATGAGCGTGAAAATTATTCTCCGTAGCGGAATTTGAAGACAACCTGGAAGTTTGCAGTATCGAGTTTCGAAAATCGTGTTACAATTTTACTTCATTTTATTACGTCATTTTTAATAAGTTTCCCTTTTTTATTTGTTCTTGAAGTAAAATGATTGTTACTTGATTATAATACTCTTTTAATAAATATAATATTGTTTAGAATTTTCTAAGATCCTTTATCAAATTATTATTATTATAATTTTAGAGTGTCTAATTTCTAATATTTGGTTTTTCTTTTGCATAATGCAGTGTCAAAAATATTAAGTAGTTGCTTACAATATTATCAGTCTTCGTCGTGGTACTTTTCAAGAATTAATTTATCAAAATGTAATATATACAATATTGTTTAGAATTTTCTAAGATCCTTTATCGAATTATTATTATAATTTCAGAGTGTCTAATTTATAATATTTGGGTTTTCTTTTGTACCAAGTAGTGTCAAAAATATTAAGTAGTTGTTTACAATATTATGAGTTTTTATCGTGGTACTTTTGAAATGTAATATATACAAATGTATATATACAAATGTAATATATACAAAATTGTTTAGAATTTTCTAAGATGCTTTATCAAATTATTATTCTAATTTCAGAGTGTCTAATTTCTAATATTTGGTTTTTCTTTTGCACCAAGTAGTGTCAAAAATATTAAGTAGTTGTTTGCAATATTATGAGTTTTCGTCGTGGTATCTTTTGAGAATTAATTTATCGAAAGTTAGATAAAACTAGTCTCGCTACTCTCGCTCTCACGGGTACGGGGGGCTTGTTACAAAATTCATCTTGCGCTTGGGACGTGTAAAAGCTTCCCGGGGCATGTTCGCGGCTCGAAAGCTCTCTAAGTAAGGTTGTCTAGCAAAAAGTTCGCATACCGAGCGAGCGGCATAATTCATCCGAGAAGAATTTTTACGTCACGATGTACGTTCGGCGCATGGTCGTAAATAATGCACGCCTATGCCAGTCGCAGACGAGGCCGACCGCCTGGCGTGCGACCGGATAGAATGGTGAATTATAATACTATAACCCTTTATGTATAGTGTCCATAGTTGTGCGGGGTAGTTAAATATTGAAAAGCAATTCTTGCATCGGCTCGTTCCCTCGTTCCATTCGACTCCCACACCGAGGCGGAGATCAAAAATCAACGTAATTGAAAACGCGATTGAACGCTAGTAGAGTATACAAGGTGTTCTAACAAAAACAGAACGTCTCGTTACACTTCTAAAATTCCATCCTTAAAATTTCAGAAAACAAAAATAATTTTACGAGCCAAGTAGGATACTAAAACCTAAAAAGATATTCACCGATGCTTTTTGCAAATTACATTTTTCTATATTATTATTATTGTTGTTGTTGTTAAATGTTATACACGAGATTTTAGTGACTATCTTCATATTGGAGTAAAATTTTACCCAGGTCTAGTCTGTCGAAAACTGACTAAAATGTCTGACCAAGTACGCGTCACTACTCCTTCCTGGACTGATCTTTTCTCTTTCATGACTACTTGACATATCTCCAAATCTACAAAAACAAATAAATTGCAAACACAAAATTATTCTATATACAATAATACGTGAATCTCTTACTAATCTCTGTAACAAATACGTTAATTAAAAGTAAAAGTAAAATAATAAGTAGAACATCATGTGTTTGGTCCAACCAACAGAATATACAACCGAATCTTCTGTTTTTATTTTTTTTTTAAGTCAGGAACAGATTCAAAAATATTATTCATTTAACTACAATTAGAATTTATTTACATTCCATCCAAATTGAATATTCTGAATAAATATAAATAAGTGTTACGTCAGATATTATGTCGAATAAAAGTGAATTTCGGCAATTTATTCAATCCAACGAAAGGGTTCATCGAGTTTTGGCGTCCGAAGAGGTTTCTATTAATATAAAGAGCGTTGCAACATTATGGTCGACGAATATGGCGAGACAAGTGCACGAAGTTTTAGAAATTCATCGAGAGAACGTTAGCACAGATCAACATTCTCGTTTAGCGGTCGCCCGTGCAGTCGCAAGCGCGTTTCTGATTCAGAATGCTACGCAATCCGAAATTCCAGCGTGGCTGATTTTTTCCGTGCACGTGCTCGCGATTTTTCGCGCGACGAAAACCGGTTCGCGGCCGATTCGCGCGCGGAAAATTGATCTGCTGTTGCCTGTTTACTTGCACCACTGCACGACGGAAATAATTTTTCAACGTTCCATGCTTGGTACTTTATCGACACGACTGCAGCATTTTTTCCCCCAAACACGAAATAACTCGTTACTATTTTTTTTATACATATTTATTATCCATCGTTTGTTCGTAAAAAATCGTTGGATACGAACGATACTTTCAATCGTGTTAAAAATCGATGAAACGAATTAAAGTAATGTTTGCAAGGATGGTTACAAGTCGTCGATGCGTTTTGTACAAATTTCAGCGAGGAAAAACTGGTCGAAAGACCGTGCAAAACCGATGTTCCTTTCCCTGTGTCATGTCATATGGCATGTGATTTTCGACCTCGAACAGGTGTTGAATAAAAACACAGGGCAAATCGAAGAAAACTTGCATCGTAGATAGGAACAATATGTTTTCAATCGACTGCATAGATTCAACGGGACTTCAAACGAAGGAAAGTGGTTTCCACGCGAACTTGCAATCACTCAGTCGAATTGTTGTACGACAGTGCCGGACCTCACATAGCGAGTTTGACCAAGGACGCATTGTTGCAACTTGACTGGAATTTTTATCGCACCTAGCGTATTTACTGGACATCGTACCTCCAGGCTACTACTTGTTTTGATCGATGTAACACGCATTGTTTGACAAATACTTTAGAAATGTCGTTCCAATGAAATGACTTTATCGCAAGCGAAGACCAAATTTTCCATCAAACTGGCTTCTCTAATTTGTTTGAAAGATAACACAAGATGCTAATCAATGGCAAGAATTATATTGATAAATGCATTGCTTCCAAATGAATTTGATACAAATTAGTGGATCATTTATATCAAGATCTAATATAAAAGACATAATTTCTTTAAAAAAAGATACAAAGTTTGAATTCTTTCTATAGTTGTCAATTACAATTAACAACTTGCAATTGTGGTTTCAATTTCACTACATTTTATTCAGCAAATAAAGTCTTCTTAAAACTAATATAAATAATATTACCAAAAAATGAGAAGGATATAAAATTAAAAAGATTATATATACATCGACGAAGAATTGTACATAAATAATATAAAAACCGTAGAAACAAGGAAAGAAAGTATATTTTAGAGAAGTAGTTCACTTTTCGGAATGTAGTAATAATTGTTTCGGTAATTAAATAAATTCTGAACGGCGCTACTACCTTGATACGGAGATTCACGTGAATTCGAGCAATTACTTCGAGTCAGTGAATCGCATACTTTCGTAGCAAAACGAGCGAGCGCGATCGAGATAAGTGAGCGTTTTTTAGATCTACGTACCTACCTGGTACCCGGCCCGATAGGGCGTTTTAACCGTGGCCATTTTTCCTTTTAAATCTGGAAGTGAACACGAATTACGGGTTTTATGCGTGTCCATGAGAAATGGGCGAAAACATTTGAGACTTCTTGTTCGTTTCTACTTTCTTCGAATACTCGTTGAAACGTGTTGAAACGTTGGCGTCGGGGCAATCAATCTTACATTGTATGCTTAACGTTTTCATTGTACGTGTAACGCCCAGCGAACAGCTGTAGTTATATAATTTATGATCATCGAGTTCTCGAATACTAGATCATGCATTTTCACTGAGTAAATACAGCAGTATATCTTCTGTCCACGTGTAATTGCCCAATTTTGTTACACTATATTTTACAGTCACTCCGTACTATTTCTTGTGTTTTGTTTTACCGCAGCGTCTAGAAGAAACGAAAGATTTTTCTTGCACCTGCTTCCTCCGCCGAGTTATGTCACTCGTTCACAATTGTAGAATTCCTGCATAATTTCACCTGTTTCTGGTCCTAACAAAGTTATTTGGATATTATTTTTGACAGGTTCCTTTTCCTGTTCGATACTTGATGCTTCCAAACAATTTGTATATCATAAATAATATTACATTGTGAAATAAAACTTGTTCACATGTACTGTAAATATAACTGTCATTGTATGGAACTTTTATTATATAAAAATTTCAAGAAATGTCCTTTTTTAATACACGATATAGAGGACGATGAATCTAAATAGTCCACTAAAGATTCTCGTTTGAAAATTCGTTAAAAAATTCCAAGATTTATCTCTTTAAAGAAACAAGGTAGTCTCGTAATATGTTCTCCATGATACGACACAATTTTAGTACGACAATTTTTTATATAAATTAGTTATTTCAAGAGCTATTTGGGGTGATAGAGTTAAGTGGTTCTCCTCGAATAATGAGTACTTATGTTACGATGTATCAGTTGAAGAATTGTTTTTTTTTTTGTTCGTAGATGTAGGTGTCGATCAGACATCAGCTTCTTCTTTCTGGACTCCGACTCTGAAGACGGGCAACATCTTCACCGACGACGCGAATTTCTTCCCCTCGGGTCACGGTCTGGTACAAACTCATCCGAATGCAAATGTATTCCGAAGCGGTTTCGGTGGAATTGATAACCTCGGTAGCAGAGGGGCCACCGTCAGACCACCGAGAATGAGACCCTTGGACTATAGCGAGCGTGCAACCGCTGAACTTCGTCGTAATCCTGCACTATCTTCGCCAGACGAGTGTGCCAGAGCCTGTAGGGAGAACGAACCACCCAGGATATGCTACTACCACTTTACCCTTGAATATTACACCGTTCTCGGAGCGTGAGTATTTCCCATTCGTAGTCAACAAAATGATTCCTCCCACACCTACACTCCTCGTCAACTTCTTTAAACACAGAAGCGTATCAATTTTAGAAATATCGAATTCAATGACCTTTTTATAAACGTTAAAATTCATAATAAGATTCGATTCTCTATTCCATGAATTTTATTTTAGTCTAGAGGAAAAAGTTATCTCGAATTAAAAATAACCGATCATCTGACTGGTTGAACGATTAATATTTTTTTGTATAAAAGCAGGTAAAGTTTGGTATCAATTTCTGGTTAATTTTCGATGTAAATAGGAAATATATAGCAAATATGAGAGGAGAGAATCTTCAGTTTCACTTAAGGAGTTCGATAATCTGAAATTAGAAGGATATTAAAAATAGTTAAATTTTAGACGCATGGAATTCCGAAATTACTAGAGTTTTCTTCATGGTTAAAGCGCCATTAGAAGCGGCAAACCTTCCCCTTTAAAATGGTTTTTGGTTTATGTCGATCCGACTTTCCGTTTTGGAGATATCATAATTTATATGAAAGCGTAATTTTTAAAATTCCTCTATGCGTCTTACAAAAGCCTACTAACGCGTATTAAAAATAGTAAAACTTTAGATGCGTGCAGTTCCGAAACTATTAGTGTTTTATTAATTATTGAGGCATTGTTAGAAGCGGTAAAGCCTCCCCTTTAAAATGGCTTTTGAATTTTGTCGATCGGACTTTCCGTTTTCGAGATATCGCAATTTATGTAAAAGGGTATTTTTCATAATTTGACTATCTCTGTCTCCGTCTGACGCGTCGCGCTGGACCTCTTTGTCGCACGTGAGACGTGACTCTCGTGACCTACTTCCGCGTAGTATTTCCAAGAATTTACTACGCACTGTTTACTATTGTCACGCAAGCGAGATGAATGAACTCGCGAGCGCACTACGAAATGTAAACAAACCCTATCTCCAAAACTAGCCACCGCATCGAGTTGAAATTAAAAATGCTATATCTCCGCAACTAATTACGCTATCGACTCGTACAAACGCTCATTTTAAAGGGCTTTTCATCCTCTATCCGATGACCATATCGTCTACTATAATTTTTGCTATCTTCCATGTTTATTTTGACATTTACTTTGACGCTCGACTTCAAATGAAAATTGTCATATCTCCGGAACTAATTACGCTATCGACTCGTATAAACGCTCATTTTAAAGGGCTTCTCATCCCCTATCCTATGAGTATACCTACTACTATAATTTATACCACCTTCTATGTTTATTTTCATATTTACTTTGACATTACATATCCAAGTAAATTTCAGCAGTTCCTATCGATTATATAACCACTGTGCGATAAAACTGAATTGTAAATTGTTTATTTTATTGAAGATGAATCTATCATTCGTATATAGGATGTTTGCATAATTACTAAACCACATTTCTCGTAAATAATGATTTTTTAATTTAATTGAAGAAACATTCGGAAATCTTAAAGCTCTGATTAACAATTGTTTCCTCCGATCGATAGTGCCTGTCAAATTTGCACCCCCAACGCGACCAACGTTGTCTGGAGCGATTGCCAGTGCGTGTTGGCGGACGGTGTGGAAAGAGGTATTTTGGCAGCGAACAGAATGGTACCTGGACCTAGTATCCAAGTCTGTCAAGGCGACAAGGTCGTGGTCGACGTGGAGAATCACATCGAGGGAATGGAAGTGACCATTCACTGGCACGGTATCTGGCAAAGGGGAACTCAGTATTACGACGGCGCGCCATTTGTCACGCAATGTCCCATTCAAGAGGGTAGCACGTTCAGGTAATCGTGTCCAATAAAAATCTCAACGTATGAAAGTAATCGAAATAAATTGATTCCTCGGTTTCCCTCGGTACAATCTTGCTTCTCTCGCGTACGAGTAATTTACGACGTCGTTGAGGTTATTGTAGGTTTAACGTCGTGTGTCTTGATGCAGGTATCAATGGATGGCCGAGAACGAAGGTACGCATTTCTGGCACGCTCATACCGGATTGCAGAAAATAGACGGTCTTTATGGAAGCATCGTGATTCGTCAACCACCGAGCAAAGATCCCAACAGCCACCTTTACGACTACGATCTGACTACACACGTCATTCTACTCAGCGATTGGTTCCACGAGAATGCGGCTGAACGTTTCCCCGGTCGTCTCGCTGTTAACACTGGCCAAGCACCTGAGAGCGTCTTAATCAACGGAAAAGGACAATTCAGGGTATAAATCACGGCTAATTTTCTTTAATTTATCATCGTCCTCTTTTCTCTGTCACAGTAGGATTTCAACATTCTTTAACAGAATTTAGAATCATACGTTTCTATTGGAACGTGTAAAACACTAGGTGCAGACGTTACACAATTCCAGAGATATAAATATCTAAATTTGCATACGCACCTTAGGTTCTACCTCTCCTATCGAGCTCGTCGTGACGCAAGTGTAAAACCGAGCAATTATTCGGTGCACTTTTTCAGAGAATCATGTCACGTTACGTAACGGTAATTAATGATATTTACATAATTGCAGTGCTCGGAAAACAGGCACGTGCCACAGGAATACTGCATGCAAGAAAATAAATATTTCACGAAAAATAACAATTTCCTCTTGGCTCCAAAATTCATTTTATTTTGCATCTTTCATTACATTAAGCGTCTACACTTAATATTCTACACATTCCAAATTACTTTTGTCTTTTATTATCGAAACCGTGTTAAAGTGGGGGACAAGTTGTAAGAAACTTTACGATCGGGAACTGGAGTCAGCGCATTTAAAGTTCCAATTGTCGACATCTTGGGTTTCAATTTCTCCGCTCAGAAATTATTCTCGAAATGCAATAAACAATACCAGTGTCCAATATCTTGTTTCTGGCGTCCGTAGGATCCCAACACCGGTTTCATGACGAACACACCCCTGGAGGTCTACACCATAACTCCCGGTCGTCGTTATCGTTTCCGAATGATCAATTCCTTTGGATCGGTGTGTCCATCTCAGATTACGATCGAAGGTCACTCTTTGACAGTGGTCGCCACGGACGGAGAGGTGGTGCAACCGGTCGGCGTGGACACCATTATTTCGTTCTCCGGTAAGTCTTCTTTTCCCGCCAGTGATTATTATTGCCCGTTCCGCGGCAGGGAAAGCGCGAAATAAAAGGTGTTTTTTAATTGTTCGTCGTAAAAGTGAAACCGTGATTTACAGGCGAACGATACGACTTCGTTATAAACGCGGATCAACCGGTCGGCGCTTATTGGATACAAGTTCGCGCGCTTGGCGAGTGCGGTATTCCCCGGGCGCAACAGTTGGCCATACTGCGTTACGCTCGTGGCCCTTACCAACCCACCACCACCGCGCCAACCTACGATTTCGGTCTTCCACAGGGTGTTGTGAGTATAGAGATCGCGAAACGCGTTTCAATCCCATTTCGATTCACGACTGGAAAGAAGATTCACCGAGTCTGGTCAATTTTTTAAATTATTTACATCTTCTTGGCCTTTTGCAGGGTGTTTATCGTTTATGTAATATCACGATACGTTTAATTTATGCTTCTATGCACGATCCATACGTTCGAGAGGCTGTGAAGGATCGGTAACTTCATGACTTCTATAGAATTATTTCAGATCTGTTTATTTAATTCTATTGCAAAAGAAATTTACGAAGTTTGATCACTTTTTTAGTTTGCTATTTTCGTCTTCAGGTGGGTGTATTCGCAATTAGTAATTTCTGTTAATTATTTTTGCAAATATTTTGATTTGTATATCCCCAGAACTGGTCATTTTTGTGATCTATAAAAATAGCTTTCAGCGCGCAGGTATTTATTAATCGTTGCACGATTCTGTAATATCTTTTAAATTCCCTTCATTTCAATCCGACTGCTCGGGAAACTGATATAACTGGAAATGAAATTAGCAATTTCTAATCCCTTTCGTAATTTCTAGAGCCCACAAAGCGATTAACAGAGAATGTCGTAAGCATAAATAGAATCTCTAGCAGCTTCTGCTTGCACTCCACCTGTAAATAACGCAAAAACTAGAGCACTTCGTTCCCTATAGTAGATAAAAAACATATCACTATGAAATTTCGCGTTCAGGTTCTGAATCCTCTGGACGCCATATGCAGTCGCGATCGAGTGGACGCGATTTGCGTGAACCAGTTGAAGAATGCCCGCCAGGTCGACCAAGGAATTCTCCAGCAGCGTCCAGACGTGAAAATATTCTTGCCATTCCGTTTCCTCTTCTACAGGCCAGAAGAAGTCTTCCAGCCACAGACGTATAATCGATTCTTGGGTAAGAACCGGTGATTTCAAAATGTTGGATCGTCGGAGCGCAGCTTCTTTTTGTCACGCCTGGTGCAACGCGTCCGTTGGTCGCCAATTGAATCCGCTAAATTTAAAATTAAACGGTCCTCGAATGCTCTATGGAAAGCGTTTGTCATTTCGCCGTGTGTTTGCAGTGGCACCGACCGGAGATCACGTAATTTCTCTCGTCGATGAAATCTCGTTCACGTTTCCGCCGGCGCCTCCGCTCTCGCAAATCGACGACATCCCGCCTGAACAGTTCTGCAACGGGGACAACAGACCCGCCGACTGCGGCGCCAACTGCATGTGCACCCACCAGGTTGACATCCCGCACAACGCAGTCGTCGAAGTGGTCCTCGTCGACGAAGGTACGAACAAATCCTCTAATCAACTTTAACGCTAGATTTACGAACATTGGTTGCACATATCTCCATTGGAAACACTTCACGTCGATTTTTCTATCAATTTGAAAGTATTCGTACAGTTATATTAATTAAATCTATCTATATCTATCAATCGATAGCGATTAATAATTTTCCAATATTAAATTGCGTTGCATCAAGCTTGTTTCGACCTTTGGTTTGGTGTCATTCTCAAAACGTTGATTAATCTATCTATCTATCAAAGGCCTGACTCACTGACTCATCAACGCCCAAGCTAAGCCCTTGGACATAAAAAGCTGAAGTTTTGCACAGAGGTTTCCTTTATGATGTATACAAGGAATAAGAAAGGATATTTCGAAACTCAACCCCTAAGGGGGTGGAGAAAGGTTGCAACGTTTGTACGAGGAATATTTTATTTGTGGTCGGATTTACTTGAAACTTGGTCTTAATGCTCTTTGACATAATTAATCAAACACCTGTTTCGGCATTTTAAGAAATTCTATCCCTAGGGGACACTGCTGTATTTTTACGAGTAAAAATAATGAAAACTATACGAGTTACGAATCATCGAAGAAAGTTCTTTTAAGAAATCTAAAAACAATGTGGAAAAGGTGTCTTCGTTGGAAAGAGCGTGGATATGGCACGAAATAGGGTGAAGTCTTCATAAATAAAAAAATGGTGTCACTTGAGAGTCAAACCATTATGGACGTTCGTACAAAGTCGTACATCATTCGTTTCTTCGACCTTCTGTTCACTATACGATACTTTCTTTAGTAATCTTTGTTGCAATAAGGTTTCGAGAAAACCACGCGTAGCAAACTTATTGCATGCATATTCTCGAAACCCTTTACTCGAAGGAATCAACCCTTAAGTGGACTCTAAATCATAACTGAATTATTTTACTTAGTGTTGATTTTTACCAAATTGGTAAATGGAAATCAACTTTACTCTAAAGCATTTAAAAAATAATGAACTAATAGAAGGTTACATAAATTTTCAAATAATTACATTGACATATATTAAATAATTATTAGTTTAAACTTGCGGAGAGGTTAAACCCCAATAATCCACTCAGGGGTTAAAACGAAATTAATTTAATCTACTCGAAGGATATTTTGTCACGTTATGTATCTCTGTGATTCGTTTCGTGCAGTCCAACAGCCGAATCTGTCGCATCCATTCCACTTGCACGGCTACGCTTTCAACGTGATCGGTATCGGTCGCTCACCGGACAAGAACGTGAAAAAGATTAATTTGAAGCACGCGCTGGATCTGGACAAGAGAGGTCTCCTCAACAGACAGTTCAATTTGCCACCTGCCAAGGACACCATCGCCGTTCCCAACAACGGCTACGTGATCTTCCGATTCCGCGCTGACAATCCTGGTGAGCAAAGCCAAAAAACACGCGCAGAAAGTTCTTATTCGAAACCAATTTGCACGCATCGAATTTCTAGAGTTCGAATTCTTCGATTATGTTATTCGAATCGAGTATCTTTTGATGCAAATAGTAGAGCACAAAATCTCCAAAACAAAAAGAAACATGAAATTGCATATACAAGACAGAAATCATTTAATCTGAAAACATAATTTCCCTCGAAATAATTTAAAAAACGTCCTATTATTCTAACAAATGAAAGATCCAAAAATATACTATTATAATGATGGACGATGCTTGCAAATAAATTCATTTCACACTTAAAAATAATTAAAAAAAAATTGATTGATACAACGATAGCAAATTTATTTTCTATTTTTGATGCATTTACTATTCAAATTTCTACCTCGATTTCTTTTTTAGATCAGCGATATAAAATAAAGAATAACCATTATTATTTTGATCTTTTCAGGATACTGGTTGTTCCACTGTCACTTCCTCTTCCACATACTGATCGGTATGAACTTGATCCTGCACGTGGGAACGCACGCCGATCTGCCACCGGTGCCGCCTAATTTCCCCAGATGCGGGGACCACTTGCCACCCATCACGCCCCCGTCGCTGTCGTTGGACTCGTTTCACTGATCGATCCTGAACGCGGTCAGGGATCGAGGCGGTCCAAAGCATACACGATATCCTTAGCGTATTTTATGTAAATTAGTCAGTATGCAGTAGCGAATCATTTTTCGTAAATATCTTGCGAGCGTCGGGTCGTTTCGCCGCGAGAAAGTTTGGAGAGATAGCTGTGGTCCCCCCCTCCTCCCTCCCCCGCCCCCCACCCCCAAAAACAAGGCGCACGTGCAACGAAAAGGTGAGAACGAGTCGGAGGTAAAGAGTCGAGCGAGTCGATGCCGTTTTTGGTGCTAGAAACGTCGATCGTTCCCGAAACGGCCACGACTCCGTGCTGGCAACAGTCGATATTTATTATGTCCTGGATGCTTTTGCAAATTCCACCCCTCCCCGATCGTATTCGCGTACGACCAACGTCGTAGATCGTCCATGCCTGTCGCAGGGACGCGCGAACGTTACTAACATTTGTAACTCTGTAAATAATGTAGAAATAGTCGTTACATTTAACGAGACATTAATGTGGGAGCATTGTTGGGGTTAAAAGTAGCGCTCGAAGAGGAATCTGCGAGACAATGCGAGCCGGTAGACCTTTCACCGGTGAGGCGGTCGATCGGCTATCATTAGGGAAACGCTGTTTAAGGAAACTCGATCCGTTCGATCCAGTCGATCGCGGCTGGTCCATGGAGCGGGACGCCTCGCTGGATCGCGTCCAGGTTCCTAAAGTAGCAGTAGTTAAGGTGGAAATTCGTGCCCGCAAACCGGCGCACGCGGCTTTCGTTCTTGTCCTTGTCAGCCTTTTCCAAGTAGATCAATTAGGGTAAAACTTAGCCATTGCCTAATACGCGTAAAATGGAATAACATAAAAGAGGGAAAAATACAAAAAATATTCGTAGAGATTAGCGTCGAGGAAGACGGAAAGGGCGTCAATGAGATTGCCGGTCTTATTGCTTCGTTCGTCGTTACGATCACTGTTTCTACGCTCGAGTTTGAAATTTTGATGTTAATCTATCGTTCACGATCGCGGATAGAGACACAGGTTTAGTGGAAACTCTGGAGGTTCGTTCAAAAAATCAATTTGGGAGCTAGATCGGTACAGAGTTTTTTCTATTGTTTCTCGAGATTTTTGGTACTTAACATTATAGAAATTGCTGTTCAGAATATCTGAAAATAAGAAGTTGAAACATTTGCTGCCAAAGAGAATCAAGAAGGATTGTTCCTAGTTCATAAAACATGATGCAGAAGAAGAATCTGTTTCCTTTTGTTTTTCATTCAGAAAGCCACACCATTTTTTCTTCACCAATAACACGTAACTCGAGAATGATCATTATTAACTGATTTCAGCTCAAAATAAAAATTCGAAACATCCTCTCCAGAAAAAGAAAAGCAGTGCAAAAGCCATCTTATTAACCCCTTTGCAGAAGGCTAATAATCGTAATTAATTGGAACTCGAGCGTGTAACCGACGCTCGAACGATCGTTCCGCGCTTCATACGCGCGCAAACTTTTCCAATCGCGGCGTACGTCGTGTCGTCATAGTTGTACGTTTTATTCATGGTGCCTCCGTTTCCTTTATCGCGGACGGAGAATACATCTTACAGTTACTCTTAACTCACAATTAACGCTATAGTGCTCGACTGTTCGGCGATCGTGGCGCTGCGCAGGTGCAACCCTCGCGGATGCACGTGCGCCTCGTCACGATTCGCATTTTGTAGATAAACCTCACTGGTTTCGTTTCGCTGAATACACTCGACGGAACCATTAAAACACGAAATACTCAGTCGCGACGACGACGCGCGGTCACGGGAGACAGAACGTGTCGTTTACTCGTCGCTAGCGACGGGGATCGATCCAATTACAACCTCGTTAATACGTATCGAGTCGAAATAATTGCTCATTGACATTAGTAAAATTTGTTCGTCGATATTTCTTGCGTTATCCATCGAGTACACTTCGCCAGCGATGTATTGTGGGTTTGTGAAAAGTTGGCACCTAAGTTAGAGTGGGGGATTCAGGCACCAATCGGACCTGCATTCCTTTCTCTAGCCAACTTCTCGCGTACTACCTTGTCCAGAATCGAAATTACTTCTTTTTATCTTCATTATCTGTCAGATGGATGCAATCGACGCGTATCTCGATAAGTCTCTAACCGAAATCATTTCCATTCGATGGATCGATACGGGAGAATCGATTCCTGGCACATACTGGCTCGTCCCGAATTTATTCGACCAACATCCGAAAGCGTTCGTGAACTTGTCGAAGATAAATATTTCGGCGGATGATTTCGACAAACGTCGATTGTCGTGTTAATTGGACAGCTTCGAAGGGTTGTCAAGATCGAGGTACGTTCGAATAATCGTCGCAGGGGAACATACCTGTCGCTGGTCAGACGTTCGTAAAGTCGATCGATATTTATTTTGTAAAGATTCACTTGCTCGAGAGCGATACGATGGAAGGATTTATTGTCAACTTCGCCACGTTCGATTTAACCGATGTCCTTTAACATTCTTTCATTGTGTGTAACATTGTTGTAAATCTCCTTTTTTCGTTTTTCCTTAATTTATTCAGTTATTTTTGATAAAGATGTACAGACGTGCCTTTTAATATATATATATCTATCGTGGAAAATTCATTACACGGAAGATTGTTCGTCGAAGTTTATCAGAATCCGTTGTTCGATCGTTTACCGCTTGGATAATCGAACGTTTTATCGTCGATGCAACGAGAAACTTGTTTCTATACGTTTGGAGCGTTTGTGGGTGGAATTGAAACGTCGAACTTTTGTATAATTATTTATGTAACGAAACGCTTTTAAGAGTTTCAACGGTTATTGTGCACGTGGAGATGAGTTTTCGTGTTTTTGTACAGGTAGTATTTAAGCGAGTCATTCGCGTATACTCCGTTATCAGATAAAGATGTACATTTAATAATAAATTTGTTTTTAAAAGCTCGACTATCTATCCAGCTTGGTAATCTAATCGATACACTACCTTCTATCCTGAAAATTATCCTAATATTTTATTTATCCCACCAGTTCCAGAGAATATACTATATTCTACGAATCATATAAATCACATTATAAGCGTGATTTAATTATTCGTGGTAGGGATAGTACTTTCAGGGGGAATAATTATTATTTACTTAAGGATACATTTAAACAATCTATCGCATATTTTATACAAAATCCAAACCTTCGATTACGTTCTAAAAATTTGTTCTTTATTTAACTCATAAATTGGCAGTTGTCACAATAAGTCTAATAACGCAAATTCGTTTTCAAACAATATATGAAATTTCCAGCTCATCTTACAGGAAATCTTTAATTTTACAATGCGGTACAAACAATGGTCCAACGTTTCTAAAAGCTCCGGATAACGACCATTCGAGAATCTGGAATACAGTTATCGTTAAATTTAACGAATCCTTTGTTAAATGAAGTTTCAAGACTAGCGGTACTTGGACTCGCTCAATTAAGCCAGATAAAAACAGTACAGTTAACCCGGACATGTGAACTTATTCGAGTGATTAACGACGCAATAGTGAAAGGATTGACCATGAATTTTTATGTCCAAAAACTCGTGCTTTCGGTCTCAAAATTAATTAACCAAATAACATCGTGTACTTCTTTATGAAACGAAACGCTTAAGAGTTTCAATTAAAACGCTTATTAGTCATTATTATTAGTCACTGTAACGACTCGCAAAATTATTTACGTCTTCGAACAAAACGGTGAGATACTCTCTAAATTTAAATCCTATGATTCCTTCGAGTAAACGAGATTCTTAATTACATCATCGTCCATATTTGCAATGTTTATCCGGAAATCTTACGCATCAATTCCCGATAAAATCAACGAAGATTTACAGAATGTTGGAACGATATTAATATTCGACAAATGCAACGAAGAAGTTGGCTGTTTGCAAATCTCGAGCATCGTCTAGAAATATCGCGAGACGTTGTACGTGTTTTTAATCGTAGTTCGCCACGCTACAGCCTTGCATACGTAAGTCGGCCTTGACAAAGTGTTCAGTATGACGAGACGAACGATATACGTGTCTCCTTACGTGACAAAACGTATTCATGAATGCTGTATGCCGTCAAGGTCGCATACTTTTACTCATAATTCGATCCCACAAGCGAGTAGAGATTTAATTGCACAATGACCGACATTTGTAATTACATTAAAACCGCTTTTTTTTGCTAAAGCGGCCAAGTCACGCGAACTATGAATCATTTAGGAGTTCGTCAACCTAGATCCATAAAAAATCCTTGTAGATCGAAGGAATTTCGCGAAGGACGACGTTCAGCTTCATCGTTTCAAGATACACAAAGACACTAATCTCGAAGTTACAGAATTTTCACAGAGAAATCTGTTAGGTTGAGGGTACAATGAACGTCCTCGAATATTTTCCAAAATATTTAATGTATTTATGGAGCAATCGTAACTCGTTGAACATGAAGTGTTTCGTCTGAGCCATCAGAGAAGATAATCGTATCAACGACAGAGCGTTTATTTATTCTGTTTCTGTTGTTGAGCTTGTAGAAATTTTTATACAACGTGAATTTAGATCGTGGCGATACTGCTAGCTGGATTGTATAAAAACTATGCTAATTTTGATGATAAAAGCGCGCGAACGGACGTTTCTACGTGTCGCTGGTCACAAGGGATGATTTCCGATCAATGAATTTATGTACAAAAGCTTTCGTCTAATTTCAACTTAATTAAGTACGATGTTGCGCAACGTTATAAATGCTAAGTACCTAAATTTATGACTATCATATGATACATATACGATCTAGCGGGATAACCCTCTCCCGAACGAAGACGCAATATTTCAACGTACGAAATACGATATCGATACCGCGTTGATTCCTTCAAAAGTGTCTGGTAAACGCGTCTTGTCTCGCTAGGAGAAGGGAAAGACAACTATATTGATGCTTGAACATTAGTACAAAAATACTCTGTAAGTCAGGAATTGTTTAACCCTTCAGTGTACGTAATATATTATTAGTAACTATTAAGGACACATCAAGTTATGAAGATCGATCCTCGACGCGAGACTTGCGTTCTCCGTTTCGAGCTAGAAATTGCAATCGTGTTTCGCGTTTCCGTGTCGAGGATCGATTTTGTCGTTCGTAATCTCGATTTGTTTTCGAACATCGCGAGCGTCGATTCCAACGAATCCGAATGTACCCGTTACAAGTGATTGCATTGTTAAGAAAAAACAGAGCTCGATACGCGAATCTCAGGACGTTAAGACAGAAAATAATTGTTCGTTCTATCATTTCGTTAAGTAGCTATGGAGAATATTATTTTCCGGAATAATGGGAACCGATGTTCGACGGCGGCCCTCTGTGGTGGTGATGGTGCTTCTGCCCGGGTCCAGAGTATCTGCTTCCTGGTCTTGAGTGAACTATAGCGTAGTGGTCGCTGTTCGTCGATATCGACCTCGTCGAGTTCATCGTCGATCCTCCGGAAGCGTATCCTTGCTTCCCGTTCAAGGAGTATCTGAGCACAGACAACGAATCGATCAGAATACTACTGAAAATTTCATAATAATTTCGTCGTTATTGTTTTAAATTGAGTTTGCAATTTTATTTTAAACATCTGGCTATTTTGCACTGGATTCTGCATATACGAGGTACACGGTAAAGTCATCGAAATCGCGATAGTTCGATAATATATTTTACCATTTCTTCTTTTTCAGTGTTCACCCCTTGACTTACGATTTAATTCCAAATATAACTATGCAATTTTGTTTAAGTTTGTTCATACAAGGAATGAGCACGAACAAAATTTGTTTTACGAATACCTCGCGATTAATTTTAATTTAGAAGACTTGATGACGAATGAGTGGACTCGTAATTATGAAACTCGACATCAAGAACTCGTGACAAGTCAGAAACGTCACTGTATGGCAAGGGGATTTCTTTGATAGATCGTCTGCTAATGTCTTATTACTTCGTAATCCACTGGTTCGTTCAGTTCTTCGCAAGAGGAGGAACTAAAACGGTAGACCGGCTTATTCGTGCTGGGAAAACTCCATGTATTGTTCCGCAGTCAAGACTTAGCACTATTGTACCTTTTGACTCGCGGAACAATACAATCGTAAAATGTCAACCTGGCGAGCCGGGCCCGACAACCGCCGCAATCAATTTTAAGAATCTGGCCCTTTTAATTAGCAGAAACGTTCCCAATACGCTTTCTCCCGCAGAAAACGCTGGTCTTCCTCCTTCGGAAATTCAAGGAGCCAATCGCGTTCAATTTTTACCAATTTTTTCGTATCTTAAAATAGAGGTGTCCCAGTTAGCAGAATCGTTTTGAACGTGAACATATATACTCTCGTATTGAATTCAATTTTGTTTAAAGTGACTTGGTTAGGAAATTAAACCTAAATAGAGCTTTTGTAAATAATTCAACGAGCATTTAAAACAATAATTCATGTGGACAGTAAATGTAAACAATCACTGGTAGTTGCATATAGTCACTGAAATGTTTACTCAACACTTGAACGAACAGTAGATAGTGTGTATAATTTCTAATAAATGTAAATGGTTTGCAAAAGAGCATTTAAAATATCAATCGATGACACTAGCAAATGTATACAATCCCTGATAGTTGCATATAAATTTTATCATAAGGTGGTTCTGATATGAGGGATGGTTTTTCTTAAAATCGAAAAATGCAGCACAGTCTTCCAATCTAAAGAATGAACGTTCGTGCCAAAGGATTCTTTTCTGAATTGCTCGATACATTTTTAATCGACCGAATCCTTGATTTTTCCGCGAATGGAGTAGAAGCAAAAGGAAAGAATGAAATCGAACCTTGAGCCGTATTGAGAACCATGCCAGCTACGATACGGATCGTAATCCTCGATGATCGATGGTTCCTTCTCGATGATATCGGTCCTGGTGCAACTGCAGGTCATCGCGGAGCAGAGGAATATGTTGATAATGAGCATGATGAGGAACAGAATGCCAAGAGCCACGGCCAGCCACAGCAGCCATAATGGGTGAACGGTGCCGCCCTCGTGTAAACTTTTCATAGCTATTAAACAAGACGCATCGTTATTGGGGCCAATTAATCGTTCGTTCTTAGGTAAAGGCTCGCCCGGTACGAGCTAATTAATCGATCGAACGGAACAAAACGATACCGGAGCGTAATTTTCGTTACGGTATCGGGAAATAGTAGGAAGCGGCGTGTATGAAAAGTACGGAATGGAATATTTACATTGCATTTCGCCAGGGTCAAGAACGAACACGCTCGTGCCGGCAAGAAGCACTCCTTCCTCGCCGCTCACGCTTTGCCCATTAATTAAAGACGCTCCCTTTATTTCTTCCTCGTTATCGCCTTCGCAAATAGGGATACCGCAGCTTCCTGGAGGATAGAAGATTAACGTTTTGCGTTTCACCTGTTATCTGTGTGCCGTAATTTACCGTTCGACACTCGACCGAGCGTGGCGGAACATTAAAATTCCCCTGTGACGAACGGAAAGAAAAAGGAAAAAAACGACGAAAGCTCGGACGATCTCGCGTTGTTGACGGGGGCTCGTTTCGTGCGTATCTGATATCGGTAGGGATAACTTCCGAGGGGATATGTTAATTCCTAGGTCGAGTTGAACGGCACACTGTGACCCAGATGCGGCACGCAGCTGTAATCGGGAAATCAGTCAGCGAATCAGTTTACCTCTGCACACGGCGATGTCGCATTGAAAATGCACTTGCGGGCTGTCAGGAAACCGGAACATCGAGAACAATGTCGCATCCGCCAGGCCCGTGTTCCGATCGTACATGAATTTCGTCACGACCCAAGCCTTTACGGGACACCTTTTCGGTCATGGAACATGAATATTACGCAATCGGTTATAATCGGAGTCGGAGTCGACGAATAAATTGGACGTTGTTTGCCAATAACGAACGGAGTTGGAGATAAAAACTAAATTACAGGATGGTGCTTGAAACGTATAACTTTGAAATGCTCACGATAAAGAAGCATCGACATAATAACATTGCATAGATGTCAAACTAGCATTGGAATAGAACATATCTGGGATAAAAACAAAATTGCAAGATCGACGTGGTGACTTTTATGACGGTCAATGATAACTAGTAGGGTCAGTTGCCCTAATATGGAATACTTTTTTTTATGCACATGCTTCACTTGCGTTTAGAATTTTTATAAAAACCTAAATAAATAATAGTTTAGGAAATGTTTACTTCTTTTACTGAGGTCCTCATTTTTCATATTAGGCTCATAGTGCTCGTAATACGAAATACTATATTTATATACAGAGTGTTCGACCACTTGAGATTCAACAAGCCAAAATAAAGAAATATGAAATTAAAAAATTTCGAATCATTCTAAAAAAATTATTTTTAGCTGCAGGGGTCAATTACAATCATTTTTTGTGGATAGACATTCCCCCGAATTCCTATGTATTTTCGAGAAAAAAATTCTTTATCGAAAGTACGATGTCTGACCATGACTGCCCTGATTCTCCTGAAATTTCATGCGAAATTAAAAAATTTCAAATCATTCTGGAAAAATTATTTTTGATTGCAGGGGTCAATTATAATCATTTTTGGTCAATAGACATACCCCTGAATTCTTAACCATTTTCGAGAAAAAAATTCCTTACCGAAAATACAATTTCAGGCCAGACGTGCGTATCTTTAAAACGTCATAACTTCTGAACCGACTGAAGGATTTTAATTTTTCAAAAAGCAAATAACGCGTATTTTACTGAAGAATATTTAGAAATTCTAACAATATTGAAAAAGTTGTTCCTTGAGCCCGTAAAATGAAAAAAACCACATAAAAACGGTCCAATTTTCAAACAGCCACAACTCCTAGAATAGTGAATATATTTCAATGAAACTTTTTTCTAAAGTAGAGCTCATGGGTAGCTACAAAAAAGTATTAAACAACTTTTCTATAGGCTGTCAAACAGATTTACTAAAAATCGAAAACGAATTTTTAAGAAAAATCGAAAGGGCCTTTTTTCGGCGAAAAAAAAATTTCAAATCGTTCTGAAAAAATTATTTTCAGTTCCGGGGGTCAATTACAATCATTTTTGGTGAATACACATACCCCTGAATTCCTACGCACTTTCGAGAAAAAAATTCGTGTATTTGGATAAATTTTATTAATAATTTTGTCAATAACTTTTTAACGAAGCCTCAATCAACAAATTGGTGTTCTTGATTTTCGTCTTATTTTGGCCTCTATAGTCTCCCATTAAAATTTTTCACCTAAAAGATCACCTTGCAGAAACTCAGACTGTGATATTTTCTTTAATATTTTTTTACGAACGTTGCCTTAGAATTCGTGCATATGCACACTAGTTGCAACAAATGACAGTCCTAATCAATTGCACCAGTAGAAATATTGCGATAATCGCTTTAATATTGCAGTGTTCCAAATTAACAACGTATTCCATACTAAGGCAACTGACCCTATTTAAAGCATACAATGTTCCTTTAAAATTCTTACGATAAAGAATCACATCGTTTAACACAATAATATTGCATGAATATCAAACAATCATTGGAACAGAACAGAGTTGGAATAAAAACAAAATTGGACGCGTTAACTGCCCTTAAAATACGATAAAGAAGCATCGTTTGACGCAATAATATTGCATAACCGTGAAACAAGGGTATCAACGCGCGAAGCGTAACCGCGTTTGAAGTTTGACAAATACGGTTGCACTGGAGGAATTCGCGAATGACTCGCGATGGAAACGGGACGATCGTCGAACGTACCCTTTGTCGTCGATCAGCTGGACGCTGCTGTTTCGTTTATTGAAGGCGAAGCACGATTTCACTTTAATTCCGTACATTCCTGCAACGGGAAAGATTGATGAAAATGCATCAACGCGCGGCGCTTGTACACGCTCGCCGACGAACGGCGTTACGCGCGCTCGTTAATTCCAATTAAACGTAAGGGGTGAAATGGAGTGAGAGATGCAGTACGAACCATCTGGTCGCGAGATCTCCGCACGCAAAGTATAGTTGTGACCATAAATAGCCTCTTCCACTTTGTGGGCGCCGTCCAAAAGGCGCAACGCCACTAACGAAGTTTCATTCCTGCGCAGAAAATTATCGCGCCGTGCGAAATTATACCCCCGGCACAGGCCGCGATAGTCCACGATTTTAAGAGATACGAGCTAATATTAATAAACGTTATATGTACTTCGCATTTTTGAATCCGGCTTTTCCGCACGTAATAACGTAAAATTTATCGTCCGCCAGCTCCAGGGTCTTGTGTATCCGCACCGCGATGGGGATGGAGCGTTCCTCGTTGTCCTGCAAGAATTACAACGGGATTAAGGGGAATTTGTTGTCGGCGTGTGTGTAATGGAACTCGACGGTTCGAAAAGCCAACGGGAATTTCGATGTTACGGACGATAGGGGAAACGCGAAGATAATTTCTTTCGTGCCTCGTATCATAACTCACGTCTTTTCCTACGCGGAATTACACACTTTTCCCTTTGGCCAGATCCAACCTACGATAGATAAACATGTTTCTTTATGACGAATTGGCTCAACTATCACTGTTATTATTAAACACCCATATGCTCAACGAGACATCTCTTTTTTTAGAAGAAAAAGCTTTTGAACTTTTCTTTATATTATTTTTATCACAGCTTCGACTGAAAATTTAGCAACGTGAATAATCTACTTAACTATAATTCTAAAATTTTTAACCCATTGAGTAGTGAACTTTTATTGTTTTAACCCTTTAAAAATTAATGGTAAGTAACTTTGTGATGTGTAATATACATTCTCCAATATTTATAACTTGCCCAAAACTATTTTATCAAATATTATCACTTAGTGGATCTCGATCAACATCCTTAAAATTTAGTTTCGAAAGGATTAAAATACTTTATCGAACAAAAGATACAATCCTTGCATGTCAGAATAGTAACAATACATAAAAATGAAATAATACAGTAGGAAATGAGAGATAATTATATCACGTAAGTAAGTAAGCCAATAACGTGAACATTGAGCCATATTTATGAGCTAGGATTTACTCGAATAGTATTGGATATACACAAATAATCCTTGACTAAGCCAACACAATCCTCCCATTAGAGACTCTTCTTTATTACTCTTCCATTTCAATATGTTATATTCTTCCTCTTTTCCTCGTTAAACATTTTCATTTGACAATCATACTACTTCTCTAGGGTTGAAACCCATACATCGACTGATCTAAATAACGCGGTGTGTTTCGCGGTTGAAAAAGTTTGGGAACCCCTGGCCAACGTCGTATTCGCTTTCTCGCTATTAGGAAAACGATTCATTGTCGGATCTAAGAATACTTCGCACAATGGACTGAATAGTAAGTTTCGTAATAATAACAAGCATTGTCAAGGAAACACATCCATTTCTTTACGTTTCTGAGTAACGTTATATAACAGTTTTCGAACTCGTGGATCGCACTTTCGAAATAAATCCAATCGTTTGATCAAACTCAAAAGATTCTTTTGATAATATTTAATTTAACCACTTTTTTAAATATTCATGGTTAAAGAAGAATTTGTTCTGGAGGTCTCGAAGAATTTAATTTAAAATAAGAACCAAGTCGATGTCTTTTAAGTTTCTGAGAAAATATTTTTCAATTATTCTGAAATATCAATGTGCATACCAAATATTAGATTGGTATCAACTTTTAATTTAAAAAAAAAATGAATTCTAACGATTGTGTTTAAATTTTGATCGTGACTTAAAATTCTTTTAATGATATTTAATTTAACCACTTTTTTAAATATTCATGGTTAAAGAATAGTGGCAAAGAATTTGTTCTGGAGGTCTCGAAGAATTTAATTTATAATGAGAACGAAGTCGATGTCTTTTAAGTTTCTCAGAAAATGTTCTTTAATTGTCCTGAAATATCAGTGTGCATGAAAAGTATTAGATTGGTATCACCTTTTAATTTTTTTAGAAATGATGGTCTAACGATTGTGTTTAAATTTTGATCGTGAACGTGGATGGTGACTTACGTTATTTACCAAAACGCCGCAGTAATCCGGGGACCCCTTGGACGCTAAAAGATTAATGGCGAGGGTCGCGTGTGTGGAGCCATTTCCGGGCGCCATGCACTGCGGCGTCCGAAAATCTCTAGCGTGAACAGCTCCTACGAAACTCTGATTTAGGTTCACCCGTATCGTCATGTGGCCGGCTTTGCATGTTGCTGTGACCGTCGGTTGAAATTCTGTGTCCAATAATTGGCCGGTGACCTGCAATCAAACAAAAATGGAACTTAATTTCATGAAATCCATCGATAATCGCGTTTGAAAAATTGTCGTTTCGAAATAAGAAATAATTCTCAAGGGGGGTAGAGGTACCTAATCATTAAAAATACTAGTGAAAATAGTTAAACAATCTTTTTGAATTAAAATTATTGTCAACCGAGGAAAACAATTTCTAAAATTAATGATATTTCGACTCATATTTATTATGTTTCTTTTGTCTGTTTCAACAAGAACAACGCTGAAGTTCAGTACCAATCTTCTGAAACACCCTATAGAGAGGCCCAAGCCAAGTGGTCGCAGTTGCCCGCCCCACCCTGCGCCATTTCTCTTTACATAAGCGAACTTTCCATACTGCATCTCAATATTCATAAGTGAAATTCGATTAAATGTCGAAAACCAGATTCTGCGCGAACGAGACTCGATCTCCATACAAGAATACAAAATTAATTTCACGCACTCTGTACATTTACATAGTTGACTTATCGCGCGAGGCAACGAGGACTCATGGGAATCGCGATCGACAGGAGAAAAATGAATCGTCCCGGCAATTAATATTAAACATACTCGGGGCTAATTAGTCTGCCAGGTTTAATTGTGCGCGGTTAATTATCCCGTGGCCTTAAAAACTCGCATTACAAGCGTCTTCATTCTTCGTACGGCCGGACGGCAATAAATTATTCAATTAATTATGGCCGCGGGGGCCAGGGATCGCGATTCGATCGCCATCGGCGTGTCTCGATAACCGGGAAAATTGAATTTTTCTCGGTCCCGTCGCCGGGTTCGGAGTGTCGCGGGCCCCGTGGAACGAAAGCCGGCGATATTTTCTCGGTCCAATCGGCAACTTAATGCCCAAGTAAACTTGGGACCGGTCTGGGCGGTAGCTATCGACCCACGCTAACTTTCAATTTCATGTGGCTGGACCACTTCGCGGCGCGGATAAGGTATATACGTGTGCACGAGGAATGTCCAGCGGTGCCCCGACGGATACGCCAACAATAAAATCGGGCCCCAAGCCGCGGAGATGCTGCGACGAGCGCACGGCCACTCTCGAGACAAAGGTCCGTAGGCGTTCGCAAGGCCACCAGTCCTAAATGCTTCGGTGGCCTCTCCGCGTAGAGAACGATCGGACGTGTTGGGTTACAGAAAAGGATTCCTTCTCTCGCGGACGGCTAATCGATTATGAGAACACGACATGGTAACGTATACGCGCGTCCTTGCGTTTTGCCAGCTGCTCCTTTTTTGGTCCTGGTGCTCCGCGAGCCGTTCCTATATCCCCTTAGCCGTTTACTCTGTCATCCACGGGACGTTCCGAGACTCCCTTTGTCGCTAGCCCGTGCCACTTGGAACCGAAATTATTATAATTACCGTAGTTTTTAAATCTGATGAATGGAGAGCGAGTCTCACCCTGGAACGCTAGGTCGTTTGAGGGGGTCTACTCAAAAAATGAGTGAAACTCAATATTTTTTTTAATTTCTAGTTACAAAGGCGTGTCTGCTGAATGAACTCTTCATATTTAAAGTCAATCGGTCTGCTCGATCTTGAAATATCAAAACGCATTTGAACGAGAAGTTATAACTCTTAGAATTCTTAATATTTTTTGGTGAAAAGAATACTGTAGATATTTATAGGATGAGTATATCTGTAAAATCTCAGTACAAAAATCACAAAAATATGATAAATTACAGACTAGACAGCAATACCCCCTTAAGGGGGTCTACTCAAAAAATGAGTGAAACTCAATATTTTTTTAAATTTCTAGTTACAGCTATAAAGACGTGTCTGCTGAGTGATCTCTTCATATTTAAAGTCAATCGGTCTGCTCGATCTTGAAATATCAAAACACATTTGAACGAGAAGTTGTAACTCTTAGAATTCTTAATATTTTTTGGTGAAAAGAATAGTGTAGATATTTATAGGATGAGTAAATATATCTGCAAAATTTCAGTACAAAAATCACAGAAATATGATAAATGACAGTCTAGGCAGCAATACCCCCTTGAGGTGGTCTTCTACTGTAAATCGCGTTTTTCTGTGTTCTCTTTGGTATTTTGTTATGAAGAAACTATGCAACTTCTTGCATCGCCGTTTTGCATATATATTCACTACTATTTCAGTAATATTCACAAATTTTTAGAACGAGAAATAGTCAAAATTAGTAACAGTACAGAGCCTCGTACCGAAAAACTGTTCTAATAGCTTCCATGATTTCAACGATCCATTTTAATTTACTTGAAACATTTTTCTACGCACACATTTGCAATCTGCAAAACTCATAGAAGAAATCTACCCGGTTAAATTAAAATCCGCGTACCTAATAAAAATATAATGAAAAAGTTACAGCGGTTTGAAGAGACGTTGAGTCCATTTTCATTTAAATATTTTTCATATTAAATGGAGCAACTTCGAAACCCTTGATTATACCAAAGAGTTTAACGAATAAAAGGAAGAGATATGTATGTTCTTTATATCTTGGGAACATATAGTAGAAAGTCCTGAATTGTATCGTTTACCCTACAGCCTCTAGCGTAAACAAATGGAACGTCGTCACGGTTTTTTACTCTTAACTCGGTAACTATCGATAATATCAAAATGATGACGCTCATATAAAATAATATACATTAAATTTTCTAAAAGAAACATGGAATACCTTTTTCCTCTATCTCTGACAGTTTCACCGTAGTTCAGCGAGAAAGATATATACCAAATGTCGATCATATTCGATTTAGAGTTTACGTTATTTAAATCTAATCAATTTTGTAAAAATATAGTATAGGAAATTTTTAAGACTATATTCGAGGTAGATACACAACATTTTGAAATAACTCTTTCCCCTGAAATGTACAAATTTCCAATCACTGAAAGCAATAGTAAATCTATCTATGTTAGAGGACTGAAATGCCTATCATTGCTAGTTTCTGCAGTTGGTACATAGGTAAACTGACCTGAAAAACCGAATAAGCGAAGAAGTGTAACAAGCAACACATCTGTTGCAAGTTACTCCATTTGATGGTAATTCTGTTACCTAACACGATGCCATGAGAACTAAAGCAGACTAATCCTGCAAGCCTTTGCTCCAAGTAAGGGCATGATTCCAGAATGACACTATGTGTTCATCAGTTGCAAAATTCACATTAAGAATTAGTCCTATATCACACTACAATTTAATAAATATTAAATGTATATTCAATTTAGATTGATTTCGTTTAACTACCAATTAAAATTTTTGCCCATGATACTCATTAGTGCCTTCACCTAATTATATTCCAACGAAAATGTGATGTAACACAAGCTGCAAAAAAATTGTATGAATTAAAATCTTTCCCCATTAATCTCATTAGTGCCTATACCTAATTATATTCCAACAAAAGTGTGGTAATATTATAATAAAAATGATGAAAATATTAATCGCAAGAATACCAAAATTGGTACAATAATTAAGAAATACAGGAAGTAAATTTGGAGAATATTAGAATGTGTAATTGTGTATTAATTTAATGTATGTTAGAGTAAATATTCCTCTGAATTCCTAAATGACTGCATCACTTTTCTCAGATTTGTACGACGAGTAGTAACTGTCCTCTGGTAATTTATAGCATGCATTTTGTGTTAATTCCATAATACGATTGAAATCCGTGCCGTTAATTACGACGAAATAATCGCTGTTTCTTCACGACTGGTGACGACTTTAAAAGGAATTTTAGCTCTTGTAACGTCGTTACGAGCGTGCGTTCAAGACCTCGAGGCTTTACGTAATCAGTACCCTAGTTCCGATCAACAAATAGTTCAATGAAACTTGAGGAAACCAATCAGAAGCCTCCTTTCAGCCCGTGACGTTCCGGAATCCGAAGGAATCGCAAGAAACGCAATATTCATATCCATAACCGCGGTCTCTAATTTCCGACTAGAACGAGAGTCACGCCAAGTATGTAATTACTATGATTCACAATCGTCGGCCAGCTCAGACACGCAACATTTGATACCTCACGAAATCTGTTACTCCTCTCCGCTGACGAGAAATTGTTTTACGTTCGCGTGCTGATAACCAAGGGTTGAGCAAAATTCCAGTCCAATAACGCACGAATGGGAAAAATGGCACAAGTTCATGAACAGATCGTTTCGTCTGAAATACTCATCCAATAAACGTTCGAACGATTGTTTGGCACAAATAAATTATTACAAAGTAATGCAATATTTAAAGTTCTTAAAAAATCATTTCTTCCTTGACTTTTTTAAATAACCAAACTTAAATGGAAAAATTTTTTTACGAAGAGGTTTTCGTGCACTCTCAAAATTCTGAATTCAAAGTCACTTCGAGGTCATGGTTCACGAGGTCGATGAACTCGTCTTGATTAGGCTACGACATAAAAAAGTAAAAAATAGAGCCACTGAATTTTAGGATGAAAAAACTATTTTTTAGACATTTTTAATATTACGATTCGCAGCTGATAAAGACTAAGGCTGTTCCTCAGTTTATTGGAAGCAATTTTATTTGAAAAATGGTACGAATAGACTTTTACTAATATTTTTAAATTATTTTTTCAGCGTGGACTTTCTTCGACGCAAAAGAAGGCCTAGGAACACACCCTCGCGACATTAAACGACGTGACGTAATCAGCGTTCTCGTCCAGGTATGCAAGAGCGTAGATGACAGTGGAAACGAGGCTCACGGTGACATCACGGAACCAGTGCTTATATAAACGAAAGTTAACATGGTCCACGGTTGGATAACATCGGGCCTTGTTCGTCGACGAATTTCGCGTGGGACACGATGCTGGAACTACGTATACTTAATATTTTTGAACTATTTCATAGACATTCGAATAGATTCCACTGCATTCGTTCTGCGAGAAATTCTTTAGAAACATGGAATAAAATTACACATCGCTGGATGTTAAGTCCAAATAAATGGACTCGAAGTATTATTCGATTGTGAAAGCATTCGTATGTTGAACTATTTAAATAATGCGGATACCGGTGATGGATTG